CTTCAATTACCTTATAAGTAAAGGGTTTGATTTTGAATTAAGATACTGATTCAATCAGTTAATTTTATTGTTCTTTTAATTATGATTTGATTTATTAATTTTAATCTTCTTAATATGATTATTATTGAACTTGATGTCTAATATTAGATTTGATTAAAGGTGTCAATTCTTAAACAATCTCTGATTAAAGCTTAGATTAAAAAATTAAAAGGAATTAATTCAATTCATTTTTTGCCTTTTCATTAAAAACCATCACTTCTTAACACAACCAATTTTTTACCTTTTCCAACTTTATCAAATTCATTTTATTCTAATCATTACATAAATTTAATTTGTTTCTTTCTAAAATTTCTATTAATGTTTCTAACTCAGTATTAGAGGATTCTTCTAGATTTATGTTTTCATTGATAAAATTAATATATGATTTATTTTCCTGTTCCATCATATCATAAATTTAGTTGATTGATTCTATTAAATCATCACAAACTTTTTTCATCATACTTTCAATTTGAGAGATCATGGATCTAAAATTCATTCTCTAGTTGATTAATTCCAATGTTTCATCTAATTTAGATTCTCTTAGTTTCTTTATAATCATTGGTAATCTATCCATTGGTACGGTTTGTTTAACAACATCCACCCCATGATCTTAAAGGCATTCAGCACACAGTTTCCTTTAACTTTAACATTTGTGAGGAGCTATACATATGAATGATATTTGTTTCATAATATGATAACTACAATTCATAATCTTTTTTAAAAAATAATTTTTTTATTACTTTTTTTATGAGCCTTATACCATATGAATCAAAAAGGGATCTAATATATTTATGTTCGAAGTAGACCAGACTCTGAAAAGAATGAATTTGGTAAACGAGGTCCAAACACATATTGAGAAATCAAAATCAATATTTATTTAGTGTCATATCGAAAAAATAATCATATATTGAATGGTGCTAACTATATAACTCTTCTTACAAATCCCTATTAGATACCAGTGAACAGTGGTTTTAATTATTTGGAATGTGATTAATGAAGTGTATGTCATATTTTCTTAATTTTAAATTATAAAATCATCTAGTAAGTCAATTTAATTTACTGTTGAAGTATTGATTTACTTAATAAACAAAATTAGATATAATTTATTAATTAACTTTTAAATTATAAATATACTTCATTTATATAATATTTCTTATGATGAGTATTTTTGATATTTCTTATTCCAAATTACTAAATATTATCCATTATTGGTCATAGTTCCATAAGATTCTCTCATTTAGCAATATATAGATGCATGAATGTTAAATGTGCTATCGTTAGTTGCCTAATAAAATAGATATGATGCTTAACCAATATCACATTTCTATCATTATTATGTATAATTGGAAAACAGACATTATCATCATTCATTATTCTTATTTAAAGTGATAGTTTTATTTGAATTCTATTTAAAGACTCCATTTTATAATTCAAAATACCAAAAAATCATCTATTTACTTATCTTTGATTCCCCAAAGAAAGAACTAGTCATTTAAGAAATGGATTTTATTTCCATATTAAACGTTTTATTTATATTTGAATTTCCAATTTCCTTATAATCCTTTCTCCCATATTATAAAGTGGGTATAAACACATGATGCTAATACTGTTTCAGTATAATTTAAACTTAGAGAGTCAAAACTATTTTTAGAGAATACAAAAAATTTAGATTATTCTGCATAAAATCTATTTACTATACTATTATTTTATGATCAGACCCTCCTGAAATAAGTTAATCCTCCTATTTATTTAATATTAAACTTTAAACTTAATT